GGCGGGGACAGGACGGTGTGACGGGATGGGGACAGCTTGCGGGGAGAGGGATGGCATCTGGGGCCGTGACGGCGTGAGGGGACGGGGATGGCTTGAGGGGACAGGGGTGGCACGGGGGGATGGGGACGGTGGAGGAGCTGGGATGGCAAGAGCGATGGTGTCAACCCATCCGCCTTGCGGGCTCTGAAACTAAAAGCCACACCACCACATTTTCATTTTAAATTGAGGGTTTATTTGTCAGTACAGCGGGGTTCAAGTGTCCCCTGTACACTCAGCAGCAGAGCCAGCAGCCAGGCAGCACCCCACATTACCCCCCCATGTCTCGCTGCCCCAGGGAAAGGACGAGGCTGCGACCATGAGCCCACAAGCCAGGGCACGCACTGCTGGCCCTCTGGGAGGCTGGGCTCTTTCGCACCCCCAAAAGACCACTCGGGCCTGCTCTAAACATCCATACAAATACAACACAATTCCACAGTTAGATTACAAATAGCACAATATGTCCTCTCCAGCTCCTGCTGCCTCCGAGATCGCTTTCAGCCGGCGTACAGGATGCTGTTGGAGTGGTGCATTGCAGCTACCCTGCCACGGCTCAGTGCAACCACAATACATTAATTTATCATCTGCAGGAAGCGGCACCAAAAACACCACGTAAATGCATTCATCCTGGGCCCTGCATCGAACTTGCCAAGGCACAGAATGTCTGTGAGGTCCAAGAAGCCGTGCTCAAGCTTTATTTTTGTGGCTGTGTCTTGTTCATCGATCTTACCCTAATCGACCCTAGCACTGGCAAATCCACCATTAGCCCTACACCCAACTCCCAGGCCTTGCTCGTCTCGATCCAGCAAATCTGACGCTTGTCTTCCACCATCTGTCTCCCAATAGCCAGGGAACCAACATTAGGCTGTAGGCTTTAACTCGCTGGGCATATAGGCTCTGATTCATGCCTCAAAGTCCGTATCCAGTTTCTAGAGTGCTCCTGAGCTTTTCTAATTCAGCCAGTGGAAAAGCAGAGGCAAGACTTCCGCTCTGCATTTCAAAGAGCACATCTGTGTTAATGCACTGTCTTTGCACGCACACACACAAGTTGACCTTCAAACACGGAAGTAGTAAAAGAAAAATCATCACTGAAAACTGCTGACAAACAGGAAAAAACCACCCTGAAATCAGGAGAGCAGAGTTCCTTCTGGAGTGACCATTTCCTACAGCGACTTCAGCACAATACAAGCACATAGTAGAGGCATATTCCAAAAAGGTGTGTTTTTCTCATAGAGATCATAGGTGTCCTGCAGAGTCCTAGTTTTCCTTCAACAATGATCAAGTTTTACTTCAAGGTGACTGCAGATGCTGTCAAATCAAGGCTTATTCTTTATACACTGCACTCTGCACTGTAAAAAAGAGCTAGTGATGGAGGGGACTTGCAGAGGGTGGGAGGCAAGGGGCCTAGTTTACGATGACCTCCCAAAGGACTCCGGAAGCCAAAAGCAGGCCCTTCAACAGACACTCCCATGATGGGCTTTGAAAAACTGAGATTCCCAAAAAGTGACCTTCAAGGAGCTTTAATACTGCAGTCTATTGAGTGAGTCAATGTAATGAAAAGTGGCTCCCAACGCCCAGCTCGTTTCAACATTGTCAATTTTCCGGGCAAGCTGGAAAAAAAGAAAAACAACAACCCAAACAAAAAAAGTGAAAACACAGTTCTTTGGGAGAAGGAGAAGCATGCAAGGTGAATACAGCGCTGAAGGTTATCACAACTGGTTATCACCATCGTAGGGACAGTGTCCCTCCACCCCCAATCCCAGCGCATGTGTTGTAGCAAGAAGGCAAATCAAAGACCAAACTATTGGCATGACGTCTACTGCCTCGGCACCCTCTTGCCCACTCTCCCCAGCAACCCATTTTGTGCATCACCTTAAAGACTTTGCTCTTTGGGAAGCCCAGTTCTTGCAGGAGGAAGGTGATGTACGTGAGGTCCATGCAGAGAAAAGGGCTGCTTCCGGGGCTGATTTCCATGGTCTTACATACTAAGGAGAAAGAAAACAGTGTCTGAATGTGTGCTGCAGGCTCAGGCCTAGCATCAGCCCAGCTTTGAAAAACCTCAGATGAATGCACAGAACACCTCTTGTCAGTTGAGTTGTGCAGTGATGAAGCCTGTTACAATGGAGTTGAAATGAGATGCACACGTTAGCAGAAGCACAAAAGCTTTGGCATACTGGAAGGAAGATCAAGGCATTTTGTTTCTCCCCTAAAACAGCTGAGTTTCTTGTATCTCTCTGGGAAAGGATGGAAAGGGCCTCCAACTTTTCTTCTATCTACTTCAAGCCTTTAAAAATCCGAGCAACCTCACGTGTGTTGTGTTTCTCGAGCATAAGCACTCGACAGATGTTGACAAAACGAAACGGAAAAAAAAAGACAAAAGAAAAGCTAAAACCAAAATAAAACTCACTTCCTTTCTCAGGATGAATTACACAAATGGTAGCCCAGAAATCAGAACTGCAACAATTGTTCAGTCATTCATAAAGTTTACCAAAAAGCACCACGTCAGTTTGATCAAAGACTGAGTCTGTGGTATGAAGAAAAGAATGTTTACATTCATAAATTTGCATAGGCCGTTATCTCTGCAGCTGATGAAGCGAAAAGCTCTGAACCGGTTTTACCCCTTTCCTGATTAACAATCAAGCATATGAACAAATCTTGAGGCAAACAGAAAAATTAAACCAGATTAGAACAGGTTATGCTAATAGGATGAGAACCCCCACATCTATTTCGAAAGCATGATTTCAGGATGACTATTAACTGGCAAGTTTATTAGTAATTCTTGAGAGAGTTTTGAAATATAAGTATTATAAGAGGTGTCTTATGTGGGCTGGAAGAGCAAGAATGGATATAAAATTAATATGAAATTAGTTGAAATCTTCAGAAATAAACAGAAATGTTGGTGAGATGCTATGGAGAGAGGTGCCCAAGAGAGGTGTTCAATATTTACTTATACCAAAAAAATTAGGCTTCTTGGCAGGTCACACATTTGCCACCCACGTATGAATTTACACACAATGACCAGTGTATGTTTGATTGTATTTTACTCACCGTATTTAGCTGCAATTTCAAAGTCACCGACAGTTAAGCTTCCTCCTTTTTCTTTATCTAAAAGAAAAAAAAAAGGTCTTGTATGGTTTTTGTATAAAGGCAATTGTAGATTCAAGTCATAAAAGTTGTTTTGGAAATCAAACCTTGAGCCACTGAAATCAGTAAGAAAACTCACACTTGCTTTAAAGGTAAAAGAGCCTTTGAAAGATCTAAAAGATATAGTGAAAAGATTTAAAAGATACAGATGAAAAAGCCCTCATTTTATGAAGAACTTTTAGCCTCATTTCCTAAAGAAACAGTTTACAAACTGTCTCACTTTGTCCTGAATGTCTGTGCTGCACTGCCCAGTGATGCCTGAACACAGTTAATGCCTTTGACCAGATCTGCAGGGCAGTGGTGCCCTGCGACATACTAAATCTGAAGTGATTTGTAAAACAAAGTGGCTGAGGAGGGGGTATATTTGTCCAAACTAGCTTGAGATCTCATCATCTGCTGTCTACCACTGAACATGACAGCCCCCTGTATACCAGCATACCACTGGAAAAGAGACGGGACGCATTCTGAATACACATGGAATTATATGAAAACCTTAACTCCATCTAAAAAGATCAGTGAAACAAAAACCACAGCCCAAGATCACTTTACTGCTTTACTGGCCAAGAAATCTGTTTATCATTATGAGGGCTTTTTTTCTATTTTGGACTGTAGAGTTAATGAGACAACAATGATTTCTGAAATGCAGAGAGTTTGTTTAAAAACCATTACCAGAAGTGACAGGTCCTATTTCACAGCCCTAGTTCCTTCTCTTATAAAAATTAAATAGCATTCGATATCCAGACCAATGCTGCACAAGTTCCATGGCAGCTTAGCAAAGCATCACGACGTGTGTAAGTGTTATCATTTCTTCCACAACTTGTTATTTAAAACAAAATGAAAACAGGAGCAAACGTACCTATGAGACCAACCTCTGCTGCACGGTCATAGTAGTAGGAGAAAGTATAAAAATCCAAGTCCTTCACTTCCTCAGCTTTATGCACTTTTTTGTAGAGCATCTTTGCCACTTTGTTAGAACAAGACTCATACAGAGGCTCACCTAAAAGAAGGCAAAGAAACCCAGCATATTATAGGCAGAGAGTTAAACATACATACAATTTATTTAGGATCTGCCAGGAAACAGGCTCCCTTTTGCACAACAGCACTTTGTAAGCTCTCCAGAGAGAACTGAAATCTGCATCTTCTTCCAGTGGCAACCCTTACCCTCCTCAGGCTGGGACTAAGTATGCAATAGATCAGAGATGGACATCATTTGAGGCAGAAGGATTTTGAAAGACCTGTTCACGGATCGCTCAACTCCACCTGCATTGTTACTAGCAGCTTTACTGACTGGACAGACACACCATGGCACAAGAGGAAAGAGCTGCAGAATGTCTTCAACAGCACATCACGAGGAGCCAGACAGAACAGTAAACAGAAAATCTAGTGTCTTTGCAAGAGGCTGAGAGTGTATCATTTACCCTGCTAATAGCATGCTGGCCTAAATAGGAAGAGTGATAAATCACTATACCTGCCTTCTGTCCTTTAATTTTGTACACTATCTCAGCATGTTGCCATTCAGATTTGAAGCCAGGTGGTAAACAAGGGCTGATCAATTCCTCCCCTTCTCCTACTGCAGAAGTAAACCAAAGCCACATTAGGGAAAAACATAAGGAGTTAATTTCAGATCTCTCACCCCCAGCCCTGTTCCACACTGTCCCACAGCCTCAGCAAGGCACCTCCAAGCCCCAGTCATGGCTCAGATGTCCCATGCCCCCCCAGGGCTGGCAAGAATCCAGGTCTCCTGGGATCTAGCAGTGTCACCTCCGGCATTCGTCTCAAATGCGCCCAGCCATGGTGACAGGAGTCCACATACCACTCAGGAACCTTGAGCCCAAAGGGAAGGGGACAGACAACTCTTCCCCCCACAACAGGGCTACGTACCCTATGCTCAGAGCCCAGACTTGAGGAGCACCCATAACTTACAGGGTTTTCCCTCAACTCCTCCTAAAATGGCAAGTCTTGCTGACATCAGCCCGAGTCCCAGGTAACTGCAAAGGAATAAAAGCCTCTGTGAACAACAAACATCCTTCCTCTGATACCCCACTGACAACTTGGCTGGGACATGCCAGTCTCCTCTACATGGTCCCAGCAAAATGGCTCGAGTCAGCAGCTAATACACATAAAGGGAACAGTGTGACAACCCACTCTCGCATTACCCTTATCCAGAAGGAAAATCTCTCTTTGAAAAAGCACAAGCAATAGCTGTGAACAGTTATCTAGCTCTTGAAGAACTGGGAATGCTGAAGGTGTTCCCCTAGCATGTCTCCTACCCTCCTCAAAGGCAGCACAGCCTCTAGCACACAGAATTGATGTTTTGAGCCCAAACACACCCCACAGCAAACATGGGCGGGAAGAAACTGCTTCCCTCTGCCCAAAACACTGGGAGCAGGGGAAGACAGTGAAGAGGAAGGAATGGCAGAGACAAAGCACTGTGAACTGACCACAACCCCCATTCTCCATCCTCCTGCACTGCTCAGCATTGAGGAGGTAGAAGAGTGGGGAGTGGAGCTGAGCCTGGAAGGAGGGAGAGGTGGTGGGAAGGTGTTTTTGATTTTGTTCTTATTTCTCATTATCCTACTGTTTAATTGGCAATAAATTAAATTAACTTCTCTAAGCTGAGTCTGTTTTGCCCATGATGGTAACTGGTAAGTGACCTCCCTGCCTTATCTTGACCCACAAGCTTTTGTCATATTTTCTTCCCCCTGTCCTGTTGATGGAAGGGGAGTGAATTGGTGGGCACCTGGCAGACAGCCAAGGTTAATCCACCACAGTGATGTGGCTCAGGTTTCTCTCCTTCTTCCCAGTACTCGTTTGCAAGGACCCCACTTCAGCAAAACACCTAGATCTCACTGGCTTCATACAAAGCTTCTATCTGTGCAGTGTGCTGTCTTTCCCACAACTAACCTGTATGAATACAGCTTGTAAGTGTTGTTAAACATCTGAAATGAAGTTGTATGGCCAGCTGGTGATGTCTGGAGGGTTGCCTGGAAAGAGAAAAAGATATCACTGCAAGGTTTCTATCAGCAGCAGCGAACACCAACACCATTTTCCAAAACATTAGGAAAACCATGAAACAACCCTAGCATGGTTCAGAGAGAAATGATGAATTTACAAGTATTTTGATTTGACAAGACAACCACAAAACCTGGAGCTGTCTTCACATAACAGTCTAAACTGGTTACATTTCTATTTGTATCCACACCAAATTGGTGTATAAAAGCATTATTTTAATTTAAAAAAGAATCCTTATTCCAGCTCTTAACTGCTTTTTTCAGAGGCTACAGCAACTGCCTCTTCACACGATCCCTGCTAGGGAAAACTGTGCAAAATAATATGAAAGCCAGACACGTGTTAACTTCCTACTCAAGCGAATTCAGCTGTGAACTTCCACAAGCCAGAGAACAGTACATCACTGTGCTTGCCAAGGAACAGAGTGAGGACCAGCCTGCCGGTCTGAAGAAATGAAAGGGCAATTATCTAAAGCACTTTGCAGCCTCTTCCCCAAGTGCAACAACACGGCTAGCGCGTTTGTGGGGAACAAAGCTCAGGCCACGATGCTATTCATGCTGCTGATACCTTAATACAATCTCTAAGTCCAGAATTTCCACATCCCAGACTCTTCACATGCCCTGTCATTCTGCTGTAAGAGCAAAATGTCTTGATTAGCCCAGGCTGAGACACTAGATACATCCCAACCCTCTGCTTTTGTGCAGCTTTATTATGAACAGTATCTCTGCTCAGGCCAGAGCCTTACAACTCCACATCCACAGGGCTTCCAGCTCACAGAGCACTTATCAAAATGCCACAACAGGAAGCTGAAATGACTAACAGCAGCATGTATTTTTTACTGCATAGTAACAGTTGCTCCTTAGTGTTCATTTGCAACTAAGTGAACTCGGGAAAACCAGAAACAAGGATTGAGAAGGCATCTTACTGTGTTCTTAAAACCCAATATAGGCCAAATGTTGGACTTGAATTCATTAACAGCACTGCCTTTGAGTTCTTCATTATAAGCAGCACAAACTGAGATTCAAGGATTAAGACACTCAGGCAAACATTGCATCTTCCCCAAGATAAAGCAGCCCTGTCAGATTCACCACATGCACCACTGACCCATGGAGCTGGAGTAAGAGGACTGACAAAGAATTGTGAGTGCCTCTATGACTGACTGTAACAAGGCAGATGTGACCAAGTGACCTGGGTTTTTCTGTCAGAAGTGTGGCTTCATGTCACACTGGTCTGTGTGACAAAGGGAACAAATCTGAGCAGTTACTGATTTCTGCACCAGCATTTCCCAACAGCGTGCATGTTCACATTACCTGAATGCGTGGAAGGAAGGTGATCTGTGTTGATCCACCACCCAAATCCAGCATCCCTACACTTCTCTTCTGTGGATCATCTAGGCTACCTGAAATGTGTGACAGAACAGAGAAAGCCACGGTGGGTGCTGTGAGAAACTGGCTAGGAACAAAACCAGAAGAACAGTGGTAAAGAAAGAGGACAATCTCATCTGTCAGCTTCCAGCCAGCACTGAATTATACCGTCATCTACTGGCACTTATTTTGGCTTTATCAGGGTGACCTGAAAATCTTCAAGTGACAGAATTTCTCTTACTTCTCTGGTGGCTATTCATGCCCTAATTACAGCAGCTTTGGTTATTGGATTCCTAAACATTTTTCAGTGGATGCAGGGACTCTTTTGCAAACTGCTCTGGTAACCACTTTGTAACACAGAGGAATGTGGTTTTCTTGGCCACCTCTCCCTGATCCCTCAGTAATATTTTGCAGATTCCTACAGCCAAGGGGATGACAGACTGAAAAGAGCTGGCCTAAGAGACTCAGCTCTCTTGGAATTCTTCCTGCTGCCAGCCCAAACCTCTCTTCTCATTTAAATCCAGTTCTTCTCAGTTAGATCCTTCAAATACATCTTCCTGACAAGACTAGTTTGTGCCAAGTACCTCGGTATACCTCATGATAGCTGATGTTTGAAGATCTCTGACCTTTCTGATATTTCCTGTGAACATAAAAAGCTTTAGAGCACTTGTTGTGTGTGCTGAACAGAGTGATCAGACAGAAGACTGCTTTACTTATTGTCAGAGAGGACTTCAGCTTAGTTTTTTCTTTACTCTTCAGCTACCTTTTTCTAAGCCAGCAGTGTAAACACTTGTGGTACTTCTGTTACAAATCTGTAAGGAAGTAGCATAGCACTTTAATTCTGTGCACATCTAGAATATCCACATTAAAAATTTAGCCAGAGCTAGTGGCAGACTCTAAAGAGGAATAGAATGCTCTGGTACCCTACAGGGAATTGAAAGAAAGGCTACATTAAACATCTAGGAAAAGGGATTAAACTCCTCACTCTGTCAATTAAATGGTCAAAATTCTAATGACTTAAATAGGCCAGGCCAAAACCAACTGCTGACTTATTCCCAGATCATTCTTTTTCCCACTCCACCCCAATGAATGAGCAAATCCCATGCAGGGGCAGAAAACAGCATGAATTTCACAGCATTGGCCATGTATTTATGCACACACTAATGTACACATACCTGTTAGAAAATTTATTGTGATCCAGGCTGAAATACCTAATAAGGAAAAGATTCAGAAGATGCACTGTTAGATGATACCATTTCATTTTATCTAACAACAGTAACAAATAAGGTGAGCCGTATTACAAGGTCTTCCTGCTTTAGGATCTGTTTAGCTGGAGGCATTTTAACGTTTTCCCATACAGTTTAGCTGCACCATCTAAACAAAATAATCAACAAACCAGAGCTTGCCATCCAATAATAGATAGAGACAGCAGAGACCATCTGCCACAAGCTCCCTTGTCCCCCTTCCACAAATGGAGGACTTCCAATACAAAGTCTCCAAAGGATGTTGAGCTGAGAGCTAAGCAAGAAGGACCTTCAAAAAGGGTGAATAGGATTTGCTCTGCTGAGCTCTCCTGACCCACCTTGCCCCAAAGCCAGTGTTTCCACAACTGTCAACGGCTGTCAAAAGCCACGATTAGATGCCTTGAACAAAGAGAATGACCTTCTATACCAGAGTTTACGCGGTATTTGGAAGAGAAATCCCATATGTGAAATGCCTGGAGAACTCTGTATTTCACAGGTCAAAAACTTAGGCAAGAAATCACAAAAGCTTCAGTCCTTAGTTAAAAGACAAGGAAATGACCAACACTCACGTTGTTCATTTGCTGGGAAAACATCCACTGGTAGGCTTTTGTTTCATTCAGGCACTCGACTTTTCTTTTGAATACTTTCATCTTTTCAGTATTCTTTTTTTTTTCCTATTTTCCTCTAAGCATTTTTGTGAGCCGCACTGTTTCTGTCCTCTTCTTGTTTTATAAACCTTTTCTCGATAAGTTAAACTAATTAGTGGGCCTTATGTTAACAAATTATTTATCCATGTGGTTAAAGCTCAAGCATGCTAGGGAACATGGTCCAGTTCAACCCTTGGCTGAACCAAGGCTGTCACTGCTATTAATGATTTTAAAACAAAACAAAAAGAATCACAATGTCTTTCTTCCATGAAGCATTAAAAAAGAAACTCATAAACAGCTCCAAACAGCTCCAGCTATTTTAAAGTTCGGTTTCTAAGCAGATCTAAAACACATTTCAACACTCAGTTACTTAGAATTTGGACATGTTTCTGTTTCTTCAAATTATTTTAAATCAAGACTGATTCTGGGTTCTATCCTCAGCATTTTTTTATGAGCATCAACTTACTTCAGTATTTATTTTCTTCTCTAACATTTTTTCAGACTGAACTCACAATCACATTCATTAGATCAGTTATAATTAACATTATGACCAAATATTCCAGAAAGCTCTGATGAGCATTGTCAAGAGCAAGGTGTGCAAAACCAGCTGTTGAAGACCATCTCAACAAGCAGACAGATACTCAGAAACCTTTCCAAAAGTGCTGACTGCACAGTGGCTTCTTGGTGATTCCATGGGAACTGCCTGGCACTCGGAGGTTCGAGAATCGGGACAGAGTTCAGGACCTCAAGTTGGAAAATGCAGCACAAGATCTCTTTGGCAGGCATTGTCTGAGGCAGCGTAAAAACTGTGTCAAACCCACTACTTGTGGGTTCCCACTACAGTGAGTGGGAAAAAACAGGAATCTCCAGGACTGCACAAGTTAGCCTACCTTCATCAGTTCCGTTCATTATCGACACGCAGTTGTCCCTCACGAAGAAGGGGGAGGCCTGAAAAATCTCCTTTACCTGTATTTCAAATAAAAGATACACTCAGAGAAATCTTTTTTAAGCTGGAAAGCAAGTTTTTTTAAAACTCCAGTTTTACACAACTGCTACTCTTCTTAGGCCAGATCCTGACTGCTGTGCACTACTTTGTTCAAAGTTCAAGAGCCCAACAAGCATCAGGCAACGCTCTGCTATAAAAGGTCAGCAATTTACACACTGCCTCTGCAGTTTGGTGAAGAGACAGGATGGATGTGTGGGTTTTCAGGCATGAAGACTGCTCAGAAATGCCATTAACATGGGATGGACATAGGTAGGGGAGGGAACCTAGTTTACTTTGCTCAACTGGTGACCCACAGGGTATTATATACGCATGGGAGAGGCAGGAGATGAACAGCCTGCCTTCCAGGAATGGCATTTTTACCAGGAGCACACTGGCTGTTAGAGGTCCTCTACACTACATCCTACATGAGGTAGCAAAGCCCTAGGTTTCCAGAGTCCTCTAAAGCAACAACGACAGCAGTTCCAGCTGAAGTTCAGTGTGGAAAAGAATGGGACAGCTTGCAGGCAGCAGAGGAGAATACGGACATTGGTTTCAAGCGCACCACATTTCTTCCTTCCAATTACTGCTTAGAAAAACAGTACACTTAAACAAACTTTTCCCACAGCCGTGAGGTCTAGAACGTAATATTTTGTTTATTTTTATAACATTTAAAAATATTACATATTTTACATGCCTATAAATACAATTTACATTATTTCCAATCAATACAAACGAGCAACCTTGCAGCAGCAGGCTGATAACATGACCAATCAAATAGCAGAGAGCTTTTCTCAAAATAGCAGCATCCTGGTCAAAACCACCAATAAACATGCCCAGTAAGAACAAGCCTGTGGTGACTGTTAGGAGTATCTCATTACACTCGTTATGTTATGTGTCATCTCCAGGCTTATTTGGAGCTGTCATCATTCCTCTGTGCTTGTACTCAACACAATTTCTCCCCCCCAACCCCATTTGAGATCAGGTGGCTCTGCACTGCTTTCAGGGTTAAATGATAGGAACGACTCATGTACATGAAGATAAAGGAGTATGTACCTTACACAGAAGGGAACAAATTTTGCTATAAAATTTCTGGAAAGCAAACTGAAGGACAAGAAATAGTACCTTATCCAGCAACTTCTGAGCTTTCTCTCCTGGCAGCAACCGTAGGCCAGCTGTGGCTTTCAGGACCAAAGGAGTAAACTTCCACAGCTCCATAGGAACTTCCTTCTTCGCCACCTCCAGGAGCTCTTTTATTCCCTGGCCACTCTGTGAGCAGAGAAAGAACAAAAAAAGTCATCTTAGAAACTTTTAGATTTGCCTTTCTTGGATGCAAAAAGGTGATCAGAGGTATGATTCACTGTAAATGTGGAACAGAGCCAAGTGAATATCACAAGGGATCAGAAGAAAGTTGGAGGACTCGCTATCTCCTACAGTGTCAGGCCTGGTGGATATAATGGGGATTATTCAGCAACAGGTCAAAACCAAACAGGAAGAGTCACTTTTTCAAACAGTGACATAGAAAACTCTGCCACCGAATGTTTTGGCTACAAAAGGCAGTATGACAAGTAGTTTGAAATAAAAAAAAGCCTTTGGAGCCAGTGAACACTATGAGCTGGGTGTAAGTCTGGGTCAGGAAGTCCCTGCAAGCCAGAAGGTAAGGGAGATGGCAGACAAGTCACTTTGTTCCTTGCTCCTCTGCATGTTGACCAGCATTTACTGTGGGTTTGTATCATTTGAAGATATTTCCCTGAACTGAGACTGTTCAGCATCCTGTACCACAGCAAGATGTTATTTGCAGGGCATATCAAGAACAGGTTTTGGGGCACATACTTTTACAGTAACAGAAACAAAATTACCTTTTCAACATCATCGGCATATGCAGATAGACCTGGCTTCAGTGCTTTAAACGTCTCATGGGTTAATTTGGGAGTCTCTGTTCAAAAGCAGTATACCAAAATAAGTAACGTTACAAATAATTCTACATACACAAAAAGAAAACCATTTTACAAATTACATCATTACATGCCAATGGAAGTCAACTGAAGCCTCTGTCTAATGAACTATCACAGCCACCCAACCTTTAAATACATCCCTTGCTATGGAATTAGCTCCCAAAAAACCATTTTTAAAATTCATGACTGTTTTTCAGGTGCTGGTGTCCACTATGCACACATCTTTCATGCATATCAGACAATCACCAGATGGGTGCAAGTTCTCTTTGAGCCCTTACACCTGCCATCTGCAGCTTTCCAAACTGCACCGGTAACATAAGACCCCGCATTTCAGCATGTTCTGTTCTGGCTAAACTTGACTTCAGCAAAAATCAGTGGAAGCTTTACCACCATTTTCAATGGCAGCAGAGGGAGCCAGACCTAAGTATTTTGGAAACCTGCGGTATAGGCAATTATATGAATCTGCAGGCAAGATCACATGAGCTTGACAACATCCTCCTCCTGTACCCAACTACAGTCCATAAAGTTTCCTGCAATATATTCTGAAATTGTGTTTAAAGAGAAGCAGGCAAGAAAGAAGCAAAGATTCAGGAATACACTGAGAGGAGGAAATTCACAGACTTGTTTAACAACTTTGGTGGCTAAGCCTTACATGAGCACATCCTGCAAACCTAAGGTGCTCCCCACAGGCCAGTCAGACTGTACACCACACTGCTAATCCTTAAAAGCATCCTCAGATCACCTACTAACAGCATCCACATGGGTTCTTTCATCTTTAAGAATTTCACAGATAGGAGCTGACAACGCCTAACCAAACAAAGCTTACAACTCCAGAGGAAAACTGGAGCTTTTTCGTACACTTCTGTCTTGCCTCTTAGCAGTACTTTCTGTCCAGGTGCAATACACAGCAATTTTAATCAAACAGTGAAGTTTTGCAATTTAAATCCAACACTGAAGCCAAGGATGCACTAAACCAGACAATGCAGAGAGACGCAGCTCACTGATGGGAACTGGAGACAAGCCAACAACCTCATGGTGAAAATCTGGGGGAATAAGACACTGTAAATTTACAATCTTCTCTTCCACCAAGGACCATGATGAAAAACTGCTCTTTTTCAAGGCACTGTTCTAAAGGTACAGCTGCTATTTAGTTCATATTCTGACATTACAGCATTTTCTCGTTGTTTAATGTTTTCTTGGTTTCATTCAAACCCACATGCTTGAATCATAATATGCTTCCTGATGGCTGTCTTTCTAGAAAGAGCATGTTTGTTCAAGTAATCCCTAGAAAAGAATCATCAATAATCTGCTCCATATGTTACGGAAGAATTAATCTGTACAATGAGCAGGCAATACCTTTTGGCTGCTGTGTAAATTTAAAAATATGGATACGAGTCCCTGTGCTTCCTGCGTCAAACATAATCCCATAAAAGACCGAGAGATCTGTGGTCAGTGCCTGATGGTTCAGTTTGTCTCCCCTGCTGTCAGCAACTCCTTCTGTTGCTCCCATGACTGGTTTGGAATCCAAGTGCCATTTTATGTAAGCAACATAAATAGCTATGCATGCCAAAATCCCAAAAGCGAAGAACCGCTTCGATATCTTCATGGCTTCCATTTATCAGATGTTTTGTTTCTTCCCTTTATCAAGTCTTTTATTTCTTGTCCTTCACACAGAACAGGTGGTTCCCACATCACTCCTATATCCAACAGAAAAGAAAAGATATGTTTTATTTTCTAAACCTTCTGAAAGGGTCTATGAGTATGGTGGTTATTTGATAAGGGACTTACAGGAGTAAACTTGACTTGAGCATTAGTTAAATACTTAACAGTTAATTGGTTTAAACCTGTGATAAGAAAGTTGGGCATGATAGCCAAGGCAAGCAGTAACTCACTGCAACAAACAGCCTGGTAAAAAAATTTACACACAGGGAGTGACAGACTACTGGTGAGTAAAAGCATTTATGCCTGCAGCTCCTTCAGGATCTGGAGTAAGACTGAGATATCAGCTACTGTCTTCAGTGCTCAAATCTATCTCAACTAACCCAGGGAAACTTGCAGTTAAATGCTTACATTTATTCCAGTAGGACAATGTAGAACACTGCATTCAAAAATCTGGGATTCGCCTGCGAATCACTTGTAAAACTGGACCTATCAGCAAAACCCCTCTCTTCCATGTTGCTTGTCCTACCTATCAAATGCCTCCATGGCTGCTGGATGCCTACGAGACTGCACGCTACTTTCCCAATGGTTCAGAAGGAACATATGCATCCTCCCTCAGCACGTCATTGAGATCTACAGCTAATTTTAAGACATGAAGCTGCATAAATCTTCTGTTCCTCATTGCTACTGAGGCCTAAGAAGGAACAGACTAAGGAGAGTTCAGAGAAGCTAAATACAGTAACTGAGGAAGGGACCTCAAGAGGTCTCTCATCAAACTCGTGCTGAAAGCATAGGCAGCTACGGGGATCTACCACGTTGCTCAGGGCTATATCCAACTGCATCTTGAAAACCTCCAAGGATGAAGACCCCACAACCTCTCTGGGCAACACAAATCATTTGCGGTTATCTTTATTAGTTCCTGGATGGTGAAGGAGGTCCCAGAGGACAAATAGTCCCAGAAGACAAACTACACAAATGGCCAAGGACAATTTAAAATCAGTGTTTAAAAGGCAAGATGGAAGATCTAAGGAATTAAGAGTGAACCCCCAGTTCCAATACCAGGAAAGAACCCACAGCAAAGCACAACACAAGAAATCTACAAGCACTCATATGACATCATCTAGATGATTAAAAAACAGTTAGCAGTGATTTATGGGGAGCAAATTACATTATATCCTTCCTTTTTTGATAGCATAATGAAGAAGAGAAAGCAAACCAACTGATGAAGGTGACTTAAACAAGGTTTTGACATATATGCAACCTGTTGATGATATGAATTCAGAAGGGGTACAGAAGAGGAATTTAAATTCAAGGTGATTACGGTGTATTGCTAAAAACGGGGAAGACAAAATGTTATAAAAATAGAGGACAGCAAAACCACAGGCACACACACACATAAAGAATAGATCAGTGTAGGGGAAAAGGAACCCTAGGCTGTCATGAAACAGAAATCGGGGAGATGGCATGGCAGAAAAAAATGAAGAATCTTGCTGGCTTCTATCAGCAGGCACAGAGATGGGGGTGGCAATCACTGCAGATACATGGGGCGACTACTCCAATCTTCCTGGTGCCAGAAAGGCCTCAACTGCAGCTACACGAGAGCTAAAACATGCCATGGGAGGAAAGCAGCAGGAACCGGATGATTCTGTGAGGAGACCGAAGTCTCCACGGCGGAAAAGGGGAGACTGGAAGTATGAGGGAGACGGGGGAGCAGCAATCTGCCAGCATCAACCCCCTACCCCCACATTCCTGAAGAGAATGGAGATTAACTCTTCCCTGCCTTTGTCAGGGCGCGCCGAGATCTGCCGCAAGGGAAAAAGCTTTCCCCCTGCGCGGCGGAAGGCGGGCGGAGACCCC